GGGGTTGGGGAAGACTCTGGCCACCAATGGGTGTTGCATCAGGTTCTACCTTTTATGGCAAAGGCACAACCACAGTGATGTTGATGACCAAAGGCAAAGAGCCCTCAAAGCCAATCACCAACTTACAAGGGAGGAAAACAATAAACTCTGATCGAATCAACCCACATGTGGCATCATGTCCATCTTTAGCATCAAAAACCCAAATTCTTTTTTTTTTTTGAGAGACAGTCTCACTTGGTCACCCTTAGTAGAGTGCTATGGCATCTTAGCTCACAGCAACCTCAAACTCTTGGGTTCAAGCAATTCTCTTGCCTCAGCTTCCCAGGTAGCTGGGACTATAGGCACCTGCCACAGCGCCTGGCTATTTTTTAGAGACAGAGTCTCACTCTTGCTCAGTGAGCTCTTGCTCACTCTTGGTCTCAAACTCATGAGCTCAAGCAATCCACCTGCTTCAGCCTCCCAAGTGCTGGGATTATAGGTGTAGAAACCCAAATTCTTGTGGCAACTAACTCAGAGTTTGGAAAAGGGTTAAAAAAATATCAAAATCCCACCTGCCAACTTGGATGCAAAAGTCCCCACGGATGGTTCCAGGCTTGGAGTCTGCAGGATTGGTCTCTCCGAGCATGACTCTGCCCGTCTTCACCACATTCAGCCCCTCCCAGACCTCCAAGGACAGAAGAAGATATGGTCAAGGAAAATGGATCTCAGCAGAAAATCTGGCAACTATTGATTCAGAAAAAAAAAATAAAAAGTCCCCTTAAGATGACATTTATTCACTGAACAACTATTTTTTAGAGTATCTATTTATCCCAGGACTAGGGATGAGTTTCCCTGCCCTCACACATGCCTGTCTACAATCCATTCTTTTTTTTTTTTTTTTTTTTGAGAGACAGTTTCACTGTCACCCTGGGTAAAGTACTGTAGCATCATAGCTCACAGCAACCTCAGTCTCTTAGGCTCAAGTGATCTTGCCTCAGCCTCCTGAGTGGCTGGGACTACAGGAGGCTGCCACAATGCCTGGCTAATGATTCTATTTTTAGTAGAGATGGGGTCTCACTCTTGCTCACGCTATTCTCAAACTCCTGAGCTTGAGCAATCCACCTGCCTTGGCCTCCTAGAGTGCTGGGATTACAGGTGTGAGTTCCCAGCCCTATAATCCATTTGTGATTTGACAGCCAGAGTGGCCTTTTTAAAATGCTAAGAGTAAAACCCCTCATCACTTCCCAGCACTCATGAAGTACATGGCCAACACAACCCTCCATGATGTGGCCCCTACCCTTCCTTGTCCTGAACTCTTCTCATCCTAACTTCTCTCTCATCTATCAAGCTTCAGGCATTTGGGACTTTCTTTCTGTATTTCAAAACGCCAAGTTTTGTCACCACCCCAGGTCCTTTGCACAGCTGTTTTTTTTGCCTGGGAATGTTCTTCACTGATTTTGTACATGGCTGACTCCATGTCATTCATATCTCAGCTTGAAAAACACATCCCTTAACCATCCAATCTAAAGTGGTCATTTGCTATCACATTACATCCTATGTCCTTTCTGTGTATATCTTTAACTGTTAGCTGATATATGTATTTTTCAGTTTATTGTCTGTCTACCTCCACTCCTTCCCCCTTCAAGAAGTGTAGGCAAAGAAACCTATGAAAATAGATACCTATTTTGGGTCATTCATGACTGTATCCCTAGGGTCTAAAAGAGAGCCTGGCACATAGATGACAAGTAATACCTACTTGGAGAAGCAGTACTATGATAAACAAGAGCCAATCTCCCTGTAGGCTTCTCCTGATCTCTCCTAGCCATGGGTCTTCAGCTCAGCAAGCACATGTATCTTCTTATTTGGTGGCTCAAAAAGCCAACTGTTCACTTCTCCCAGCAAGGACCTGGCACCAAAAGCAGGAGCCAAAACACTCCCTGTCCCACTGCCCACTGAGTCATACATATCAACATCCCACACAGGCACACTCACCATGGCAACCACGGGCCCTGAGCGCATGTATTTCACCAGGCCAGCAAAGAACGGACGGTCCTTCAAGTCAGTGTAGTGTTCCCTGAGAAGCTCTTCAGAAGTCTGTGCCACAGGACAAAGAATGAGACTGGACTCAAAACTATCTAAAAACCAGCAATCTAGTTAATTCCTGCTCACCCATCTGCTATTTGAAAGCTCACTGATTTTATTATAACCCGATTCATTCTCCATGGTATCAGAGGGGAGCAGTTACAGGGAATAAGAGCTTCTACAGTTTTTATACCAATTGTCCCCCATTGGCCTTGACAGATAAGAATAAAACCATGAACTATTAGACTCAAATCCAGCCAACTCAGTTTAGACAGGATAATAAAATGCAGTGAATTTCCATTCCCAGAGCAAACCCCACCTAAAATGTCAAACAGATGTGAGGAAGACAGTCTCACCGACCATTCAATGACCAGCAAACTGAACCAGGCCATTTCCCAGAGATATTGCACATTTATTCAGAGGATAAAGGCCCACCATGGTGACTGTGCAATTCCCACAGGTATTTACAAACCACCCAAAATACATGACATCTAGCAATAAATAATTTTGCTGAAAAATGAATTAGAATCTCTCACACTGCAAGGCTGTTATGTGGGAACAAATCAAGTTAGCTAGAGAACAAACCATCTGTTTAGCACTTTCAACTCAACTTGGCTGCGTTCTCTCTTTGCCACAGTGTATATACTTCTGAAGGGTCTAACAGGGTCCTTTAGTTTTTCTAGTTCCATGGGACTGGATCATATGAAGCATATTGCATACTTTATTTTTTGTTTGTTTGTTTGTTAGTTTGTTTAGAGACAGAGGCTCATTCTGTCGCCTTCATTAGAATGCCATGGCATCATAGCTTACAGCAACCTTCAGCTCTGGGCTTAGGCGATTCTCTTGCCTCAGCCTCCCAAGTGGCTGGGACTACAGGCGCCCACCACAAGGCCCGGCTATTTTTCGTTGCAGTTTGGCTGGGGCCAGGTTCGAACCCACCACCCTCGGTATATGGGGCTGGCGCCCTACTCACTGAGCCACAGGCACCGCCCATATTGCATACTTTAATGATAAACACAAATGTAGAGATTCGCTTCTGAAAAGCACATCCAGAGCATCCTATCATTCAACCACTGGTTGACCTCCATTTGCCAAAGTAAAATTACATGGCCATGTGTTGGCTCCATGATAGGGATCCACCCCTGATCCTGTCCCTTCCTCCCCAGATGGAAGATTTTGGTAGTGGTGGTATCCTAACACACACTGACTTCATCCTCCCTTATCCAGATACTCCCATTAATTGGAACTCCTATTGATTAATCCTATTAATTGGTTCTGATTACCTTTAGTCTGCAAAACAGATCAATTACAGGCTTTCTGGGCCTATGGGGGTCCAGAGAACCGCAAGTTTTACCTTTGCTTCCCACCTCCAGGCCACATTTATTTTTTTTGGCTGGGGCTGGGTTTGAACCCGCCACCTCCGGTATATGGGGCTGACACCCTACTCCTTGAGCCACAGGTGCCACCCTCCAGGCCACATTTAAATAACCCTGTAGAATCACAGTAGCTAACCCTTCTATTCCTCCTCAAACCCACATCCTTGAAAATTCAGTATAACAGCTGGGCGCAATAGTTCAGTAGTAGAGTGCTGGCCCTAGATGATTTGGCAGGGGTGGGGGGTGGCAGGGGGGGTGGCTTATGCCTATAATCCCAGCACTCTGGGAGGCAGAGGCAAGTGGATCTCCTGAGCTACGAAGTTTGAGACCAGCCTGAGCAACAGCAAGACCCTGTCTCTAAAAAAATAGATGGGGCCAGGCATGGTAGCTCATGCCTATAATCCCAGCATTCTGGGAGGCCAAGGCAGTGGACTGCCTGAGCTCACAGGTTCCAGACCAGGCTGAGCCAAAGTGAGACCCCCACCTCTAAAAATAGCTGAGTGTTGTAGTGGATGTCTATAGTCCTAGCTACTAGGGAGGCTAAGACAAGAGAATTGCTTGAGCCCAAGAGTTTGAGGTTGCTGTGAGCTACAATGCCACAGCACCCTACCGAGGCAACAAAGTGAGACTGTCTCAAAATAAATAAATAAATAAATAAAGCCAGGTGCTGTGGCAGGTACCTGTAGTCCCAGCTACCTGGGAGGCTAAGGGAAGAGAATCACTTGAGCCCAAGAGTTGGCCCAACAGTTGGAGGTTGACGTGAGCTATGACACCATGGCACTCTACCAAGGGTGACAAAGTAAGACTCTGTCTCAGAAAGTTTAAAAATAGCTGGGCTTCAATTCTAATATGGGGAAATTAAAGAAAAAAAAAAATAGCTGGGCACTGCGGTGGCTGCCTGTAGTCTCAGCTACTTGGGAGGCTAACACAAGAGAATCACTTATACCCAAGAGTTTGAGGTTGCTGTGAGCTATGATGATGCCACAACACTCTATCCAGGTCAAGAAAAAAAAAAAAAAGAAAAAGAACAGAAAATTCAGTATAAAGGAGAAAATGTCTACACTCAGAGGTCAGAGAGATCCAAATTAAAATACAGCTGCATCACTGACTATATGCTACCAGGATCATTACTTAAACCATTCCAAGCCTCAGGTCCCTTATCCCTAACAACCATGAAAACAGGAGTAAGTACTTCTCAAAGCTGGCATGAAAGCTAGATGAGAAAACATAATGTGCCCAGCACATGGTAAATGCCTGATCCAAGAACCTAGCACATATATGATAAATGTGTTCATTTTATTTTACCTTCTGCTATGTTTGAATGTGCTCCCCAAAGTCTACCTGTTGGAAACGGAAATGTTAATCCCCAGCGCAACTGTGTTGGAGGTAGGGCCCACCAGTGGGTGTTCAGATCTTAAGAGCTCTATCCTCATGAATGGATTAATATCTTTTTTTTTTCTTGAGTCAGAGACTTGCTCTGTCACCCAGACTGGAGTGCTATGGTCTCAGCCTACCTCAAAGCAACTTCAAACTCCACTCTTGGTATATGGGGCTAGTGCCCTACTCACTGAGCCACAGGCACTGCCCTGACTAATTTTTCTGTTTTCAGTAGAGACAGGGGCTCACTCTTGCTCAGGCTGGTCTTAAACTCTTGAGCTCAAGCTATCCTCCCACCTCAGCCTCCCAGACGACAAGGATTACAGGTATGAGCTACTGTACCCAGCACAAAGCAACCTTTCAATAAATATAAAGGACTGATTGACCAAGAATCCTTCTTCAAACAAAATCAAGAGATGAAAATTCAGGGCTCATCATGGTGCCTCATGCCTGTAATCCTAGCACTCTGGGAGGCCATGGTGGGAGGATCCCTTGGGCTCAGGAGTTTGAGACCACTGTGAGCAGGAATGAGATCCTGTCTCTACTAAAAGTAGAAAAATTAGCCTCATGTTTTGGTGGGTGCATCCCTATATGGGAGGCTGATGCAAGAGGAGGGTCACTTGAACCTAGGAGTTTGAGGTTGCTGTGAGGTAGGCTGACACCACAGCACTCTAGCTTGGACAACTCTGTGAGACTATGTCTCAGAAAAAGAAAGAAAGACTGCTTTGTGTCTTATAAGTATGGCCTCTTTCTGCTATTTCATAAGAGCCTCCCCAAAGACAAAACTCTCCCACACACTCCTATGGTATCTAATGTATGCTAGACACTAAGTGGGCAGTAATTGCTGATGGAAGATTTTCTTGCTGAAAACAACCTGACTCAAAAGAGAAAAAAAACTCTCTAGAATTACTTGCTCTGAAAGCTCAAGATGAGCAGCTCAAACATGCCTAGATCTCTGAGTCAGAAATTACAGTGGTACGCAATATATGGAACTCTGTATTGCAAAGGGCTAGGACAGTTTTCAAAAGTCCCATGCTTTATTCCACGATTTAGCCAAGATACTAAGCCAGGCTCGGTGCCTGTGGCTCAAGCAGCTAAGGCGCCAGCCACATACATCTAAGGTGGCAGGTTCAAATCCAACCCGGACCCGCCAAACAACAATAATGGCTGCAACCAAAAAATAGCCGGGTGTTGTGGTGGGCGCCTGTGGTCCCAGCTACTTGGGAGG